ATTGTGTTAGTTCGTGATGTGAGCGACGAATTAATGTACCCGACTTACCGATGAATAACATACATCAGTTATTATACAAAAAAAAGAGGAAAATATCATTGATTATGGAAATTTTGTTTAAGAATGTCAATCTTAACGATAATTAGAGAAAGTGTTTTTTATAATGTATTTTAATATCTACGTTCATTAAGAAGTTTCTTATTATTTTGATTAATAAGATAAATCCCACGATTATTTTTAAAAATCAAATTATTTTTTAAAATATTCTAGGAGCACGCTTTTGTAACCTTAATAAAATAAACTGAGATTGCGTATTTCATAGAGGGTTGGATTGTACTTTTATCAAGAATAATTTCAAAAGAGATTGATTAAGTGCTTCTGCCACTTCATGTAGACTAAGATTTGTATGCACTTAATTTAGGGGAGAATATCTCAGCTGATATAGACTAATTTGAACCCAGGGAACAACATGGGATGTGTGCCAAAATCTGTATCCAGGACGAACAGTCCGAAAATGACCACATCCTTATGAAAAATGACCAAATTCTGAAATTTGATCCCCCTCATCATAAGTGTTACGGTATTTTATAAAGAAGCAAGCTTTTTTTGCAATACGTTCATATTGCTTAGCCTACTATTTTAACTAAGACCCTCCGTCATCCTAACAATACTAATATTTTCAAATATAAATGCTATTGGAATAATATGATTTACGATGGTACATATAACGTTATCACCAAACATAATATTCTTTATGTCAAGCAATTTTCGTTTAAAAAAAATATTCTACAGCTTTTGCTTTAATCGATCTTAATAATAAAATCTCTGATTAAATTGGAAGTACGTTATTTTCTGTCGGTATCTTTTGACCTTTCTAAAACTTTCAAAATTATCAACCACAATATTACGGTACATTTCAAATTGTATCCCTGGAACTGCACTAAATTTAATTTTTAGTATTTAGCTAACCGTCAGCAATGCACACACTTTGATCCTCTTCTTCAAATTTTAAATTTTCGTATGTCCCCTAAGATTCTCTTCTTGGTCCTCTTTTTTTTTACATTAATGATTTAACCAACTCATCCAAAACAATTTTGACATTTTTACCTTTATGCTGACAATACCACTATATTCTGTTCAAATATAATCTTGTTTCTCATGTCACTATAATAATCATGAACTTAACATGTTACTGAATACGTAATGTTAATAAACTTTCGGTTAATGTCGAGAAGTGCAACTTCATGCTATTTGGAAACTATTCGAAACAAAGCGAAAGCACTGTAGTTGTAGTTGTAATACAATGTGTTAGATATCATGATAGGATTAGTAATTGGGGATTTATTCATGATGGTGTTTCTCAATGTACCAGTTTAGGACCTCTCTGTTTCTCGCCATGGTTAACGACGTATTTAACGATAAGTCTATTGACATTTTTAAGTACCGGTATGCGATTAAAGATATCACCATTGAAGAACCCCGTCTTTGCAAGTATCCTTGCTTAATTCAAAGTCATTTGGATGAACTATCACAATGGGCAACATATACACTATAACAATATGGAACTTAATCCTAACAATTTTTTTGTTAGTATCCCTTGGTGTGAACCCATCATGTGTATTGCGGATTTAAAACTTACTCCAAGATCGAAGGCAATGCAATGTGACCGATACAATTCCACCACATCTGATTGGGTGGAATTACATGCAGGTGTCTCGCAAAGGAGGAAATTAGGCCCCATAATTTTTCTTACCTTAATTAATGATGCTTGTTTTGTTACTGGGAACATTATTACCCACTTCAAATATTTGGATGATATTACCCTAGTTGAGTGCAGAAAGAGAAGTGATATATCAGCCCTTTAGTATGTCCTTAATTCCTTTAGTGAATGGCCAACAAACAATCAAATGAAACTTAACTCAACTAAAGTGCTCCACCATGGGAAATATGTTTCATGCGATCTCCCCACACCTTATAACTCTTCATTTAAATTACACAGAGATAGTTAGTCAACAATGTGTAAAACTACTTGGTATTTATTTATGTACAAAGTGATCTCAAATGAAACACACAGGTGAAACAGATGCTAAATAGAGCCAATGGTAAATTTCATACGATACGTATTTTTAAGACACCACAATAGGTTCCCCCTAAAGACCTTTTTACTATAATATAGTGTAATTATATATTATATAATTGCTATGTACGACTAACTGTAGAATATGCGGCCCCAGCATTGAATGCACTAAGATGATCTTGGGTGCTTTATGTACAAATTATGCTAACGCACTTACCTTCTTTAATACAGTGACTCTAGTCGAAAGACGCCGAAAATTATGTTACGACTTTAAAATAAGTTAAAAATTCCAACTGGCCGATGCCATTTACACTGAAATTCTTTCTTTTTAATTTTTTTTTTTTTAATGTAAATAATTAATTTATTAATCTAAATTTATCCCATGTTAATAATATTGATGGAATAATTTTATAGTAAATGTTTTTTTTTTATTGAATGCATTTAATTTAACTTTGATATTCTGTAAATATTGATAAAATCATTTTAATGTAATTATATATTGACGTTTTTTTAATTGAATGTACAATGTAATTTTGATATTCTGTCTTTTTTGTGATATTCTGCTTGCTTGATTTTGTTCCTTTTATATACATATATTTGTAAATACCATCGAAATTCAGCTCTGCTACAATGATGTATTTTTTATGTGAATTTATTGAATAAACCGTTATCTATTCATCTATATTTTTACAGCTCTATATATATAACAGCCTACATATATACTTAGTTTAAACTTTTATCTATAAAAAAAATCGATGAAGCAAAGCAATAACCCACGCGCACTATTGCTGCATAACAAACTCAATAATTTGTGTTCAAATACAGGATTGTTTTTGTTTTTAATCTCTTTTTTTTTTTTTTTTTTTTTTCAATGTCGGTTTTTTATTGTAGGCCTATCTTTACCCATTTTAACCTTTTATTGTTGTGCTTAATTGATTTTATGAAAAATATTTATTATTAATAAATATACCATTATGAATGAATGAATGAATTTCGGATGCACCATTCCTTGCTCATTCTTCCCCTTCCCCCACTTTTCTTTATTTAATTTGAGTGAGTTCAATATTTTACAACAGTGTATCATTGTTTATGACAATACAGTACCAATCAACCTATCAACCTTTGCACCGTTTTTAAGAACTAAAATTTACAGCATGAAAACTCGTGACAACCTTCAACTTCCCCAACCCAAACTTACTTTACTCCAACACTATATTCGATTTAGTGTTTCTAAACTTCTAAACAATGAACTCCCTTGAAATTATATCGGCACCTTTCAAGAAAATTTTCCCTTCTTAGATCAATCAATATCTTTTAGCTTAATATATATGAATAATTAATTACATTTTAATACTAGTGTTACGGTACCATATTTTGCCTAATCATTTTCCCGTATCTCCTCTGTGTTGTATCCGTGTTTTGTTTTCATATTTGCTTTCTTACTTGAATTAGTTAAAAAAAAAAACAAAAACAAAAAAACAACATATTTTTGCTTTCTTAATTATGTGTACGCTCGCTACACTAGTGTCACTGGATAAATGATTTTTCTTTTTATCTATTTTTAATTTGGAGTATATTTTTTAGCATTGCCTTCTTCTTCACACAATCCTATTTTCTAAAATGAAATCCAATTGTATAATTGTAATATTTAAGTGTGAAGAAATAAATGTTTATTTTAATTAAAATTTGAAGTGGACCATGATAGGGCTGTATTGTATAACGTTTTAAAAAAATTAACATGTAGGATTACTTACCAAATAGTTCAGCGAATCATGGGTTCATAATTTTTGTTTTAGGCACCAAAAATTGGGTATGCCAAACAGCTAGCTTTTTTCTTTTTTTAAAGTGGCCTATCCCCTCACATGGCAAACATAACGACAATATATTCCGTACACGTTAAATTTTTTACAACATAATTCGCTTGGGCCATTACAAAAAAATAATAGATTTTGTACCAAAAATGTACTTTTGTGAAAAAAAAATCCAGTTTTCTCCAATGGTTATAAGGAGACCTTGGAAAGCAAATGATACAACGTTTCCATATACTGTAATTGTGATCACTTACCAATACAGGGGAAATAGAAAGAATCCCAAACATACCCTTATCTCATGGATTCAGCCCGCTTTACTACTGGTAATTGTCAATGTAACCATCCCAGACGAATTCTCAAGCATCAATCTTACACTCTTCCTAACTGTACTGAACTTAAGTAGTTAATTTGCCAGTCTAATTGGCTAAACTAAGTGTGGGCTGATCCACTTCATATCTGGATTAGTCCATTTCCCATCACCTTGGTAGCCATGGAGAAATAAATATGT